CGCCCCTGTAAAACATCTCTACATAGCACTACTGTAAAAAGTTATATATATTTATGTTTTACATCATTGATATGCAGTGTTAACTTGGTATACGTACTTCATCCGTTGCTGATTCTTGGACGTATGCCAAACAGTTCGTATACCAAACAGGACGTGTAACAAATAGTACGTATACCAAACGAAGAAATAAAAGGAGAATTATTAATCCGTTCCCACGAACAAAACAAAACAAAAACCTATTGTTACTGTCGTTTTGAACATTGATAGGAATGTGTAAAATAATTTATATTCTGTCCAAAACTAAAATACATAAATACAAAAGCACTGAGATGAGAATGTAACCTCATTTGACCTTTCTGAGAATATTCGAGTGAGTACTAGGATGTTACGGGGCAGGCTGGAGGAAAGACAGTATTGTGTGGAAGGACGGTATCCTCCCAATCAAAGTTCACAGCCTATCTGTTCGGATGTTTCTGTTCGCTCCTTGCGTACGGTATCGCATTTGATCTTGGTCCATCCAATTTTCTTTTTTCAAATAAAGCTCGTATTCAAAGCAATGAGTTTCGCGTCAAAATAGGACGTGTACCAAGTTGAACGTATAAAATAGAGAACGGGTACCAATATAACACTTAATAGAGATGTTTTATAGTAGTGTTATGTACTAGATGTGAAAAACCCTGTATCTAGAAAAATAAAGAGTTCGTTAGGCGGGGACCAGAAACATAGATTTTCTAGCCCAGACACGAGATCTTATGTGTACAGTCTAGATCAGCAGTACAATAAATAAACTAGGCACATTAACCCCAAGTCCTGATCTGAACTAAAACAAATGGAACTATAGTTACTACATTCAACATCTGTTTATTTTCACTGAACATATGCTAAGTTCTATACAAATAATAATGCATTAAAATTCACAACGTGTTCGAAAATACCCTACAACAGATAAAACCTATCTCCGCCTACACACCTCAGCCTGCGTTGCGATAAACCCTTGACGCAACTGGAAAATGAGAATTACATGTTACTCGTCCGAAAAGCAGAGACCTAGGAGGGCGAAATGACCACTCCCGTCTGTGTTATCACTCTCTGACCCCAAGTTTGCCAGGTTTTTGGCTTACTCTAAGCCTAATCAAATTTGTATAACAGTTGTCCAGGGCCTTTCACAGTTATATAGAAATATATTTCAATAGTGTTATATAAAGATGTTTTACGGTAGTGCTATATAGAGACGTTTTACAGCAGTATTATATATATATAGACGTTTACAGTAGTGCTATATATAGACGGTTTACAGTAGTGCTATATAGAGACATTTTATAGCAGTGTTTTATGGAGACGTTTTATAGCAGTTATACGGAGACCTTTCTTAGCAGTGTTATATAGAGACGCTTTATAGCAGTGTTACGTAGAGTCGTTTTACTATAGTGTAATATGTAGACATTTTACAGTAGTATAATATAGAGACGTTTTAAAGTATAGCGATATAGAGATGTTTTACAGTATTGGAATTTAGAGACGTTTAACAGTAGTGCAATATAGGGACGTTTTACAGTAGTGTAAAATAGAGATGTTTTACATTAGTGTTACACGGAGACGTTTTACATTATTGCACTTCAGCGCAATATAGAGACATTTTACACTAGAGTTATAGATCCGTTTGCTATGAAGTTGTAACCGCGACTGCATGATTGCCTGATTACAAACACCTGAGTTTGTTTACAGCTGTATTCTCACGAGATGATGATGAATTTCTATTGCAGCCGTGCTGGGCTTGCCCTTGGACAGACTTAACCTTTTGGCTCTTGAAACTGGTTTACATTTGTAAAATATCTGACCAATACAACTCATCTGCTGTGATTTTGTTTTTTGTTCTTGCAGACTCAACTATCTTAATATGATCTTTTCTATTCAATTAAACAAAGCTGCATGGTACTCGGGGAGAACCATAGCTATCATAAAGGTTACCTGTCTCCTGAGATAAGTCTTCTAACAGAATGATCGACGACGAATAATAATAATAATAATAATAATAATAATAAGAAGAAGAAGAAGAAGAAGAAGAAGAAGAAGAAGAAGAAGAAGAAGAAGAAGAAGAAGAAGAAGAAGAAGAAGAAGAAGAAGAAGAAGAAGAAGAAGAAGAAGAATGAAAAGAAGAAGAAAGAGAAAAAGAAGAAAATGTATTGATATTACACTCTTCTGCTTATATGGCTGACAGGACAGTAAACGTACGGGTCTGTTTCCTCAATAAACTGTCCAAATTTAAAGAAGAATTGGTTCAAGAACGTCGCTTGTTGTTCAAAACCAATGGCAAAACCAGTCTTGTTGATGGAACAATTGTGTCACGTCCAGTAACATGCCTTGTTAATTGTATCCTCAGTAATACAAGAAGGCTTCACCTCAAAGTCTAAAAAGTGTAAGGAAATTGTAGTAATCATCTCATTGCCTTGGAATTTGTCAGCAATGTTATTAAAGATGCAAAAAGTGTCAAGAGCTGGACATCACAATGAATATAACCATGGTAACAGCATAATGACAGTGAAATATAACCGCCCATGTTTAAAAGAGCAGCAGCTAGATTTTTAGGGAAGGGGCGGGATGAGGGGGGGGGGCGGAGGGGGGGGGGAGGTCTCTGTAGTAGTTGTCTCAAGCGGTAGATTTGTCGTGAAAACGACGAAACTCTTGGTGAATGTTATCTCTAGCAGGAGATTTGACATAAAACAGACGGTAATTCTCTGTGACAGTTGCCTCTAGTGGGAGATTTGACGCTTAACAGGCCGTGGCTCTCTGTGACAGTTGGTCTAATAAGGGAGTTCGCGTGAAACAGGCGGTAACTCTCTGTTGTAAATGTCTCTAATGGGACATTTGACGTGAAACAGTGGGTAACTCTCTGTTGTAGAAGTCTCTAATGGGACATCTGACGTGAAACAGGCGGTAACTCTCTGTTGTAGAAGTCTCTAATGGGACATCTGACGTGAAACAGGCGGTAACTCTGATGTAGAAGTCTCTAATGGGACATCTGACGATGTCTCTAATGGGACATTTGACGTGAAACAGGCGGTAACTCTTTGTTGTAGAAGTCTCTAATGGGACATCTGACGATGTCTCTAATGGGACATCTGACGTGAAACAGGCGGTAACTTTCTGTTGTAGTTGTTTCTAATGGTAGATTTGACGTGAAACAGGACGTAACTCTCTTTTTTAGGTGTTTCTAGTGGGAGATTTTACCTGATACAGTGGTTAACCCTCTTTTGTAGTTGTCTCTTGTTAATGATTTGACATGAAACAGATGTTGGAGGACGAGCCGGTAGCGACTGCTCATCTTGTAGTAGACGATGATACTGAGGCTGGAGTTGGTGGCCTCTAGAGTGTTGAGGAAAGACCAGCCCACCTGGAACATGTTCTGTAATAGTGGAAGATATGGAACATTCATGCATCACAATGACTGTAGTAGTGGAAGATATGGAACATTCATGCATCACACTGACTGTAGTAGTGGAAGATATGGAACATTCATGCATCACACTGACTGTAGTAGTTGTAGTAGTAATGTTAGTAGTAATTGTGGTTGTTGTTATTACTATTATGCTTAAATATTTTCATCCTACATGGACAAATCGTGTGGGTGACGGTCGATACGAATCATACTTACAGCTTGCTGACTGTTGCTATGCCTAAATACTATTCTCTCTCCCCCCCCCCCCCCCACCCACCCCCTTTTCGCAGTGTTCAATTCTCGACGGCAGCTCCTGCAGGTAAGTTTCTAGAAATCAATACTTATCTGGTGCAGTAATATTTAGGGAGTATTCACTGTTGGCAGATACCTCAGAGTAGCTGCAGACAGGGAACACCCTCTGTATGAAGCTTTGGCTGCAGGGTAAGAGGCTGAAAAGGGAAAAATCGTGGATGGCGCAAGCAGAAGACACAATAAGACAAGTATGCATACTGGATAACATTGGGCGAGGAGAGGAGTGGGTCAGGGTATCAGAGTACAAGTCTGACCTGTGTAGTGTTATGATAACATTGAGCCGGGTGTGCAGAGAGTGGCCAGCGGGTGCTACGGAGGATAAATTCCAACAGTTGATTCAGGACAATTCACGCCAAGGTGATCTGATTATCTGTACAGATGGTTCAGTGTTAAAAGGAAAGAGAAGTGCCTGGGGGTTCGCAGCGAAAGCCAATGGCAAATCTTTAGTGCAAGACAGCCTAGCATATGATACCACAACATCTAGCATTAAAATGGAGGTGGAGGCGGTAACTGCAGCTCTCTGGTGGCTAGACAACAAGATGCATACACATGTCGTAATTGTAACAGACTCTGAAAGCATGCTGAAAAAGGTGAGGACAGGGATGCTTCGAGCAGAGTGGCAAGCTTTACTGGAAAGCTCACGGGTAGTGAGCATACTGTGGGTCTTTTCTCAAGGCGTGGTGGGTAATGAACAGGCAGACAGATTGGCTGGATTCGCACCACTGGGTGATGAATTGATTCATAACAAGGCAGATGTGGTCGCCCATTGGGAACAAGCAACGGAATCAGTAGAGAAAGAAGATTATTATGGCGTGGAGAGAATGAGGCACCTGGGTGTAACCAGAGGGTCTGGCCGGGTCACTACACTCAGAGGAAAGGCAAGACGGACTTTGAACCAGATTGTGACCGGTACCATCAGTATTGGAACTCTGCGCTGGCTGCTGAAGATGAAGACGGGGCATGCATGGGAATGCCCCGAGTGCTGTGATGCCAATTCTTGACTCAGTTCAACTCAACTCACTGTTGGCAGCTGGTCAGGAAACGACAAATGATGAAACTAGACTAGGACGTCTCATTGATGTCTGTAATCATGAGAAAGTTGACCAAAGATTTTTCCAGTTTCAAACAGAATTTAGTGCCCGTTGTTTGCCTCATGCAGCATTGGCAACCATATACCTTTTACTAACTAAACAAAATGGCCAGTTTTGTTGTTGTTGTTGTTGTTGTTGTTGTTGCCTGCTGACAGGCTGCTTTACAGTTTTACCAAACCACATATGAATATGTTGCTTGTTTGGTTGCCAGCTTTGTTCATTGCACCTCCCCCCCCCCCACTTCCCAGTATTGTATTACACTGATAGCAGACTCCGGTACTTTCATGTAAGCTCACCTCAAACACAGATTGGGTTAGTCGGTGTTCATTTCGAACCGTAACACCCCTAAAATACTGAACTTTCTCGGGGATTCCGGCTTCACCATGTTTGGGGTAAGCTACCATGAAAGTACCCAGACTCCAGCCCATGTCACGGAAGAACATAGAAGCCAGCAAACAGTCACTTACTGCCTGTGTACCCGTGATACTGTATTCTGGGATCAACATCATGACCACCAGGTTAACGGCGCTCGGCAGGAAACAGATGATGAAAACGATGGACAGAGAAATGATCATCTTGATAAGTCGCTTGTCCCTCTGCGTGACCGTGTCCTTGTTGGCCGAATGTTTGCGCCATCTACTTTTACGACGAAGAGTCTGCACAAGAATCACCGTGCAGACGATCACAAGCACAAATGAACTTAACTGAGCGGCAAAGTTGATGGCGAAAGACATATTTTCAATCTGTATTCCGTTCGATCTATATACGAGAGACGTGAGAGTTGTATTGGTGCTGAAGTCATAGACAGTTCCGAGTCTAATAGCGTAATAGACGGGACAGGTGCTGGATAACATGGCAGCGAAGATGCACACGATGGTGCATGTGGTTCTCTTTGGGGTAATGATTGTTTTCACTTTAAGAGGCATAGAAATGCACAAGCATCGTTCAAAGGTGATGAAAGCAGTGATCCAAGACGTAATTCTAGCGAAGCAGACGTGAGGCCAGCCTGCTGTAAGGTACTGGACCCTGACTGAATCAAACCCGATCCCTGAGTTGGCAAACAAGGGATTGAAACACACGCTCATCCAGACTAGTGTAACAAGAGCCCCTAAATCCGAGAGGGACAACCCCAGAAGTGATATGTTGACAGGTTCGGTTAAACCTTGCTTAATGAAGACAACGACATTGACAATGTTGCAGACAGATCCGATGAAACTGACTGTTCCAGACAAGACAACATAGTTCATTATCTCGAATAGCTTGCGAATCTCATCGCTGATAATTTCGTGGTTGTAGTTGTTGGAAGCGGTGCCAGAAGATGTCAGAGGTGTGTTGACGCCGAGACTCTCAGTCTGTTGGTTGACTGCTGCTGCTGTGATCGATGTGTTGCTTTCAGGGTCATACATATTGACACAGCTGCTCGGCGTTTAGGTGACGTCACTGAGAACGATCTTTGAAAGTCACGATATCTGACTCCACGAGGTTGCACAACACGTCCAGGTTTTAACTCCCAACAGTGGCACAACACGTCCAGGTTTTAACTCCCAACTGTTGCTCAACACGTCCAGTATTTAACCCCTAACAGTGGCACAACACGTCCAGTATTTAAATCCCAACAGTTGCTCAACACGTCCAGTATTTAACTCCCAACAGTGGCACAACACGTCCAGGTTTTAACTCTCAACAGTTGCTCAACACGTCCAGTATTTAACTCCCAACTGTTGCACAACACGTCCAGTATTTAACTCCCAACAGTTGCTTTCCTAACAGTGGCACCACACGTCCAGTATTTAACTCCCAACAGTTGCTTTCCTAACAGTGGCACAACACTTCCAGTATTTAACTCCCAACTGTTGCTTTCCTAACAGTGGCACAACACGTCCAGTATTTAACTCCCAACAGTTGCTTTCCTAACAGTGGCACCACACGTCCAGTATTTAACTCCCAACAGTTGCTTTCCTAACAGTGGCACCACACGTCCAGTATTTAACTCCCAACAGTTGCTTTCCTAACAGTGGCACAACACGTCCAGTATTTACTCCCAACAGTTGCTTTCCTAACAGTGGCACAACACGTCCAGTATTTAACTCCCAACAGTTGCTTTCCTAACAGTGGCACCACACGTCCAGTATTTAACTCCCAACAGTTGCTTTCCTAACAGTGGCACAACACGTCCAGTATTTAACTCCCAACAGTTGCTTTCCTAACAGTGGCACCACACGTCCAGTATTTAACTCTCAACTGTTGCTTTCCTAACAGTGGCACAACACGTCAAGTATTTAACTCCCAACAGTTGCTTTCCTAACAATGGCACAACACGTCCAGTATTTAACTCTCAACAGTTGCTTTCCTAACAGTTGCACAACACTTCCAGTATTTAACTCTCAACAGTTGCTTGCCTAACAGTGGCACAACACGTCCAGTATTTAACTCTCAACTGTTGCTCAACACGTCTAGTATTTAACTCCCAACAGTTGCTTTCCTAACAGTGGCACAACACGTCCAGTATTTAACTCTCAACTGTTGCTCAACACGTCTAGTATTCAAGTCCAAACAGGTAAACACCATTTGCAATATTTAACTCACAACACTTTAAAAAACAATTACAATATCCAACTCACAACACTTTACGCAACAATTATAGTATCGAACTCACAACAGTTGCTTGCAGCAACTAAATGAAGATTGTGGGAGAGAAAATAGCTGAATGTTTCACTATTCCACAAAGCACTCGGTGTGGCGAGCACTTTAGATCAATTTTCTCAAGCGATCTAAAGTTGCCTCTCTATTGAAACCCGATATTTGGACACTGAACATTTATGTAAACATGTCCGCTCCAACGACTATGACTCGGTGTGTGTGTGTGTGTGTGTGTGTGTGTGTGTGTGTGTGTGTGTGTGTGTCTGTGTATGTATGCTGTTGACCCCGTGACCCTTCAGATGTCCACTGCTCTATCAGATACAGGTAAGCTCCATACACCCAGTCCACCTAAGCCATGGTCAAAGATTCTGGACCTTGCTTTAACGATGACCATTTATGGGGATGAAAATCTTCATGTCCTCTCCACATCCTTTTTACGTGATGCCTGTGCCTGTATTCTCTCCAGGTGACGCCCCTGTCCACTTCTCTCCACGTGACACCCATTCCCATATTTCTCCACGTGACGCCAATGTCTACATTCCCTCCACGTGACGTCCGTACCTGCATTCTTTCCAGGTGACGCCCCTGCCCACTTCTCTCCATGTGACACCCCTGTCCACTTCTCTCCATGTGACGCCCCTGCCCACTTCTCTCCATGTGACGCCCCTGCCCACTTCTCTCCATGTGACGCCCCTGCCCACATTCTCTCCACGTGACGCCCATCTCCACATTCTCTCCACGTGACGCCCCTGTCATTGTAGATAACGTCAAGACACGTTGTCTTCAAATGCACACACACACACACACACGCACACACACACACACATAGACATAGTCTATATATAGACGTAGACGAGGCCGTGTGTGGAGCAAGACAGATGCACGAAATCACAAGACTGTAGTTGCCTCTGATCACCATAAACACCTGACCTACACAGATAAGCCTGGCGACACCTGGTATCACAGCACACGGTCCATCTGTGCTTTGTGACTGGCAGTTTCTACAATGATTCTCCTGGCTGTGTGGTCCATGCTGACCATTGTCCACTGTGGTGAGTTTTACACACGCACACATTTAATCTAGTCCTGGTGGCTTCATAAATATCACACAATAAGTAAAGAAACAAACTACGTATCACACAATAAGTAAAGAAACAAACTACGTATCACACAATAAGTAAAAAACAAAAACAAGTATCACACAATAAGTAAAGAAACAAACTACGTATCACACAATAAGTAAAGAAACAAACAAGTATCACACAAAGTGCGGTTGAACTAACTGGACTGACTGCGACCCAGGTTGTGGTGCGACCTAGATCAGACGAATAGTGATTACCAGCGCTGCTATACTACAACAACTACAACATACTACAACAGCTGCTACTATCTTCTTCTTCGTTATCATCATCATCAGCATCACCTTCTTCTTCTTCTTCTTCTTCTTCTTCTTCTTCTTCTTCTTCTTCTTTTTCTTCTTCTTCTTCTTCTTCTTCTTCTTCTTCTTCTTCTTCTTCTTCTTCTTCTTCTTCTTCTTCTTCTTCTTCTTCTTCTTCTTCTTCTTCTTCTTCTTCTTCTTCTTCTTCTTCTTCATCATCTTCTTCTTCTTCTTCTTTTTCTTCTTCTTCTTTTTCTTCTTCTTCTTTTTCTTCTTCTTCTTCTTCTTTTTCTTCTTCTTTTTCTTCTTCTTCTTCTTTTTCTCCTTTTTCTTCTTCTTTTTCTTTTTCTTCTTCTTTTTCTTCTTTCTTTTTTTTTCTCCCCTCCTTCCTTCCTTTCCTTTCCTTTCTTTCTTTTCTTTCTTTCTGTCTGTCGGTCGGTCGGTCGGTCGATCAGAAAAGTAAAAAGGCAGACTTAAACAATAGCAAAACTAGAGCTGCTAAAGCTAGAGCTCAGGTTAAATACACAGAAGCCAATAAGGAAGTTAGGAGGCCTATAAGGGCAGACAAAGTGAAATATTTAAATAATTTAACACAAAAAGCGGAGACAGCAGCAGCAAAAGGAAATCTCAGAGAACTTTACAGTAACACAAGAAAATTAGTAGGTAAATATAGTCAGCCAACTGGATCAATCAAAAATAGTCAAGGAAAGTTACTTACTAACACTAAAGATTAAATGAACAGATGGGTTGAATATTTGAAATACTTCAAAATAAACCAGGCTCAGAGGTTCCTCCAGATATTCAGCCTTTAGAAATGGAACTGGATATCAACTGTGAGAAACAATCTAAAAAAGAAATTAGAAAAGCTATCAATCTTCTCAAGGAAGGAAAGGCGGCAGATCCAGATGGTATCTCAGCTGAAGCCATCAGGGCCACATAAACACATCAACAGAATTGCTACATAGATTATTTAGTAAAGTCTGGGAGACCGAAGAAATACCAGCAGACTGGAGAGAAGGATATCTTTTGAAACCGCCCAAAAAAGGTTATCTACAGGAGTGTGAAAACTATAGAGGAATTATGTTGCTGTCAGTTCCTGGAAACATATTAAGTAGAATTATTTTGGAAAGAATAAAAGATGCTATTGATAAAAAGCTAAAAGAAAAACAGGCAGGTTTTTAGCTGAACAGATCCTGTACTGACCAGATAGCCACATTACGTATTATAATAGAGCAAAGCATTGAACTGAACTCACCACTCTACATTGGATTTATATACTTTGAAAAAAGCATTTGACAGCATTGATAGGGAATCTCTCTGGAAATTGATGGGGCACTATGGAATCCCACAGAAAATTATCAACCTAGTAAAGGCAACATATAAAGACATGAAATGTCGAGTTCTTCATGAGGGAAAACTAACAGATACATTCGAAATTAAAACAGGTGTGCGACAAGGATGTCTTTTGTCGCCTCTCTTATTTTTACTGGCTATAGACTGGATTATGAAGACAGTAACTGCAAACACTAAGAATGGAATTCAGTGGACCCCTACAAAACACCTTGATGATCTGGACTTCGCTGATATTTCTCTTCTGTCTCATTCACGAAATCAGATACAAGATAAATTAGATATACTTAATGCGAGATCAAAGCAGCTTGGTCTGAAAATCCATAAAGGAAAGACAAAGATAATGAGAATAAATCAGGCAAATAGTAATGTGGTTTCTCTTAATGGCACCCCACTCCAAGACGTGGAGTTGTACACCTATTTAGGCAGTAATGTAGATAAAGATGAACTGATAGAGATATTAAAATAAGAATACAAAAGGCAAGAGGGGCTTTCACAGCACTGGGGAATTTGTGGAGGTCAACAGAAATTTCAAGAAATTGTAAACTAAAAATTGTTAATTCTAATGTCAAATCAGTACTTTTGTATGGGGCGGAAACATGGAGAACAACCAAGGCAATTACTAATAAATTACAGACATTCATTAACTGGTGCCTGCACAGAATAGAGGGAATAAAAGGGTATGATAAAATAACTAATGTAGAACTCTGGGAGAGAACTGAACAGGCTCCAGTGGACCAAGAGGTGAGGAAATGACGCTGGCTTTGGATAGGAAATACATTGAGAAAACAGGAGAACAGCATAACTAGAATGTCTTTGCATTGGAACCCACAGGGGCATAGGAATAAAGGAAGGCCAAAAAACACATGTAGAAGAGAGCTGGAGAATGATGTTAGAAAAATGGGGAGGACATGGACGACTTGGCGTGAGTTGGTTGAGGGCCTATGCTTCATTGGGGGATAGAAAGGCAGAAGAAGAAGTAGAGTATAGTTCTAGTTTAATACAGGCTCCAGCAGATAATCCAGTCCAGGTAGGAAGAATTAAAGACTCATGTCTGAACACGTCACCACAAGGCCAGCAGGCATATCTTGGGAACCACTGGGGCTCCGCCCTACTCTAAGCAGACTTCTAGACACGAGATGTACATGTTCTGATGACGTCACAATGTTTAGAATCTTTCTTGTGGTATCCTCAAGCTGATGGGGCCTCCAACCAGGCAGTGTTGAACTTGTACAAAAACGAATTCAAAGGAGACGTAAGTGTTTCATCTTCGCTCTTTTCGTCATCATCATCATTATCATCATCGCTCTCGTTTAGCCTTATCGTCATTATCATTATCATTGCCGTAAGTGTCATCATCATCATCATCATCATCATCATCATCATCATTATTATTATTATTATTATTATTGCTGTCGTCGGTAACATCATCATCATTGTCCTGAGTATCATCATTAAAATCTCGGTGCCGTCTCCACAATCTAGGTTGACTACCGTAGACCGACTGCTGTCTCTAGGATCTATCAAGTGGTGGGGCCCTAGTCTCTTCCACGGTGTGACTCTGGAACTAATAAGCCGCGAGAACGGCGTAAATCATGACGTGCCATTTGTGCATTGATGATTGGCTATATGAAATCTCCGAAACGTTGAGCGCACGCCTTCACGGCACATATTGGTATCACGTTCTTCCAGCTGACTAGACACGGATAACACAACCTGACATGGACACAGCAGGCAATCCACATGTCTAACTGAACAACAGGACAAAGATGTGTCATGATGACTGAACAAATTTACTAATGCAATGTATAAGCAGCCATATGTATTTAGGATGATTTCTGGAAGTAGAAATAATCTCGGAACATTGGAAAACTAGAGCAACTATAAGTGGTCAGATTTAAGATATCAGCAGCAACCAAAAACAAATGCTTAACGAGCACCTCTCATAACGAGGAATTCGCATACGGAGCAAAACAAATTGTAAAAGAATGACTCGCTTAACAAGCGATGTTTCGCATAACGAGTGGCGAGGAGAGGGGAAGTCCCGGATTGTGCGCATGTTACATCAGTCTGTGTTTCGCACTCGTTCCAGTAGCATCGTAGTGTCGCTTGTGATCACACATTTTCTCAAACTTGTGTTTTATTGTGATATATGTACATGAATCCTCCAGGCCTACAAGATGACTTCCCTGAAGAATTTAAGTTCATCAAGATCTAGTTTCTGCCTCCCAACACAACCACTCCGTTACTCCAGCCCATGGAGGAGCAAGTTATTTCTAACTTTAAGAAGCTCTACACGGAGGCACTCTTCGGGCATTGTTTTCAGGTGACTGAAGAGACCAACCTGACTCTCAAAGAGTTTGGACAAATTACTTCCACATCGTTGCCTGCCTCAAGATGATCGACAAGGCGGGGAAAGGGGTTACCAAGAGAATCCTAACTTTTGCTTGGAAGAAGCTTTGGCCGGAGAGCGTTGTCGATTTGTGACTTTGATGGGTTCGAGACAGTACTGTGGAACCTGTAGTCAACGAGATTGTGTCTTTGGCCACTATCATGAGATTGTAGGGGGATAACAGTGATATCGAAGAACTTGTGGAAGAGCACAGCCAAGACCTGACCACCCAAGAGCTTATGGAGCTGCATTGTGTTTCACGGCAGGAAGTTTTGGAGAAAAATTTGTCAGAGGAGGAGGAAGAGGTAACAGAAAAGCAACAATCTTCTGGCGAAATAAGAGAAATGCATAAAGCATGGGAAACTGTTGCATCTTACATTGAGAAACATCACCCTAATATGGAAGTGGCTATGCGAGCTGCAAATTTTTTTAATGATAATGCTGTGTCGCATTTTCGCTCAATTTTGAAGCGTCGGCAAAAACAAATGTCTCTGGACATCTTCTAGAAAAAGAATAATTAGCTATGTATCATAATTATTTCGACCTTTTTTTTTCCGCAAGTCGAATTCGCATTCCAGGTGGGTTCGTTCCGCGTTTAAAGAAAAGATAAAGATGATTCACTCTCCTTAACAATATGTATATAATTTTCTTTAAATAAACGTTATACATAGTATTTTGTGAGTATTTTTTTCGACATGGAACGCATTATCGTATTTTACATTAATTTGTATGAGAAAAATGGTTTCGCATAACGAGTGTTTCGCTTAACGAGTATGATTTTGGAACGAATTATGCTCGTTAAGCGAGGTTCCACTGTAGGTCTAGAAACAACAAACTTACACAAACCTGCATTGGCCGAAAAAAAAAAATATAAACACAGAAAAGAGCATAGGAAGACCCCCCCCCCCCCCCCCCCCCAAAAAAAAAAAAAAAAACGCATCCAATGGAAAAAAAGAATTTACCATTAAAAAAAAAAAAAAAAAAAAAAAAACATACTGATGTCAACACAGAAAAGAGCATAGGTAGACCCCCCAAAAGGAAAAAAACAACATCTATAGACAATGAAAAAAAATGCACATAAAAGATATAAGAAATAATAAAAGCATACCCACAGAAACACACAAAAGCATACTTACATAGATATAAGATAGGAAAAAAACCATCTATAGACACAGAAAAAAAACATACTTACAAAGATATAACAAAGAGAAAAATCTACATCTACAGACACTGAAAAAAATTAAGCATACTTACACAGACATAACAAAGGGGAAACAAATATCTATAGACACTGAAAAAAATAAAACATTCTTTCCTAGACATATCAAAGGAACAAAAACAACATCTATAGACACTGGGGAAAAAAAACACATACTTTCATTGACATAACAAAGGGGAAAAAGCCATCTATATACATAGAAAAAAAAGCATACTTTCATAGACATAACAAAGGGGGAAAAAAACTTCTATAGACACATAAATAAATCATACTTACATAGACATAACCAAGGGGGAAACAACATGCATAGACAGAAAAAAAGGCATACTTACATAGACATAACAAAGGGGAAAAAATATCGATAGACAGAAAAAAAGCATACTTACATAGATATAAGAAATGAAAAAACAAACATTTTGCTTAACAAAAATAGGAAGTTGACCTCCATTTGATACCATTACAGTGCGAGTTGAATTTATGTGTGGCAGGAAGTACTCAGGATAGCTGCCCGGAGAACTTCTGCTTGCCCATTCGGGGCGACATGGTTCAGATAGTTCGTTTTGTTATCATTGGTTGACTGGGTTTGCTGTGAGGGTTCCAGTGCTGTTATCACCAAACACTAGTTATCACAGAAACCACTGCTGCACAACAACCTGTTAGTGTTTTAACTCTAAAATGAAGGGGGCGTTACATCCACAATACGATTGGATTTTCTAGGATTTTGTCATTATCAACCTGTGCCGTGTTGATAATTGTTGGAGTTACGTCTTCTGATCTCAGTAGATCACATAACTGATGATCAAGTCTGTGTGCTCTTGTCTCGATTATACATGTGAGGGAACCATCCATGGTAAAGTGAGGTAATTCCCTTGCTTGATTCTCACCACTGGTGTAAATTGTGCCTGTGTTCATGTTGATTACGCCTCATCTCTGCAGCAACAGCAACAATGGCAGCATGTGTCCCAGTAAGGCATTCTTGATATTGTCCTTTCAACCACTCCTTGGTCTTTCTACTGTCCTGTAACCCCATTGTCCACACAGGCAGACTGACTGCGGTAGATGTGTTCATTTTGTGATCTAGTCGCCTTGTGTCTTATGAATAATGTCAATTACAAGAAACGAGCAGAAGTTAACTGAAACAGTAGTGCACAACAGAATTCAACAGGCACGGACTTTTAATATCTGGGGACTGCATTCACCGAAAGGAAGACATCACGTTGGTTAAAGAAATTCACATAAAATGCAGTAAAACAAAGTTTGGGACACCTCCCCCCTTTTCCACAACTATGGATTACGGGACCTAATTCATCTCAAACCATTGAGCTGGCATTATAGTTTGAATACATTTAAAAAAACCAAGCATAGGTCAAATAAAAACACAACAACAATTACAAACAAATCGGAACCTAACGCTGTGTCTAGAATACAACGAACATTTAAAAACAGATTTTATTGGTCGAACCAGTTGAAGGCTCCCTCTCCTACACCTGTTGTGGGTTCTATATTTTTAACGTCCCCCAACTAGGATGACGGGTAGAGAGCAGACAGTTGGAGGTGTAGTGAATGAGCTGGGTGACACTAGGATGTCGGGTAGAGAGCAGACAGTTGGAGGTGCAGTGAATGAACTGGGTGACACTAGGATGGCGGGTAGAGAGCAGACAGTTGGAGGTGCAGTGAATAAGCTGGGTGACACTAGGAGGGCGGGTAGAGAGCAGACAGTTGGAGGTGCAGTGAATGAGCTGGGTGACACTATGAGGGCGGGTAGAGAGCAGACAGTTGGAGGTGCAGTGAATGAGCTGGGTGACACTAGGATGGCGGGTAGAGAGCAGACAGACAGTTGGAGCTGTAGTGAATGAGCTGGGTGACACTAGGATGGCGGGTAGAGAGCAGACAGTTGGAGGTGCAGTGAATGAGCTGGGTGACACTAGGAGGGCGGGTAGAGAGCAGACAGTTGGAGGTGCAGTGAATGAGCCGGGTGACACTAGGAGGGCGGGTAGAGAGCAGACAGACAGTTGGAGGTGCAGTGAATGAGCTGGGTGACACTAGGAGGGCGGGTAGAGAGCAGACAGTTGGAGGTGCAGTGAATAAGCTGGGTGACACTAGGAGGGCGGGTAGAGAGCAGACAGTTAGAGGTGCAGTGAATGAGCTGGGTGACACTATGAGGGCGGGTAGAGAGCAGACAGTTGGAGGTGCAGTGAATGAGCTGGGTGACACTAGGATGTCGGGTAGAGAGCAGACAGTTGGAGGTGCAGTGAATGAGCTGGGTGACACTAGGATGTCAGGTAGAGAGCAGACAGACAGTTGGAGGTGTAGTGAATGAACTGGGTGACACTAGGATGGCGGTTAGAGAGCATACAGTTGGAGGTGCAGTGAATGAGCTGGGTGACACTAGGATGGCGGGTAGAGAGCAGACAGTTGGAGGTGCAGTGAATGAGCTGGGTGACACTAGGATGTCGGGTAGAGAGCAGACAGACAGTTGGAGGTGTAGTGAATGAACTGGGTGACACTAGGATGGCGGGGTAGAGAGCAGACAGTTGGAGGTGCAGTGAATGAGCTGGGTGACACTAGGATGGCGGGTAGAGAGCAGACAGTTGGAGGTGCAGTGAATGAGCTGGGTGGACACTAGGATGTCGGGTAGAGAGCAGACAGACAGTTGGAGGTGTAGTGAATGAACTGGGTGACACTAGGATGGCGGGTAGAGAGCAGACAGTTGGAGGTGCAGTGAATGAGCTGGGTGACACTAGGATGGCGGGTAGAGAGCAGACAGTTGGAGGTGCAGTGAATGAGCTGGGTGACACTAGGATGTCGGGTAGAGAGCAGACAGTTGGAGGTGCAGTGAATGAGCTGGGTGACACTAGGATGGGGGTAGAGAGCAGACAGTTGGAGGTGCAGTGAATGAGCTGGGTGACACTAGGATGGCGGGTAGCGAGCAGACAGACAGTTGGAGGTGTAGTGAATGAACTGGGTGACGCTAGGAGGGCGGGTAGAGAGCAGACAGTTGGAGGTGTAGTGAATGAGCTGGGTGACACTATGAGGGCGGGTAGAGAGCAGACAGTTGGAGGTTTACTGAATGAGCTGGGTGACACTAGGATGGCGGGTAGAGAGCAGACAGTTGGAGGTGCAGTGAATGAGCTGGGTGACACTAGGATGGCGGGTAGAGAGCAGACAGTTGGAGGTGCAGTGAATGAGCTGGGTGACACTAGGATGTCGGGTAGAGAGCAGACAGACAGTTGGAGGTGTAGTGAATGAACTGGGTGACACTAGGATGGCGGGTAGAGAGCAGACAGTTGGAGGTGCAGTGAATGAGCTGGGTGACACTAGGATGGCGGGTAGAGAGCAGACAGTTGGAGGTGCAGTGAATGAGCTGGGTGACACTAGGATGTCGGGTAGAGAGCAGACAGACAGTTGGAGGTGTAGTGAATGAACTGGGTGACACTAGGATGGCGGGTAGAGAGCAGACAGTTGGAGGTGCAGTGAATGAGCTGGGTGACACTAGGATGGCGGGTAGAGAGCAGACAGTTGGAGGTGCAGTGAATGAGCTGGTGACACTAGGATGTCGGGTAGAGAGCAGACAGTTGGAGGTGCAGTGAATGAGCTGGGTGACACTAGGATGGGGGTAGAGAGCAGACAGTTGGAGGTGCAGTGAATGAGCTGGGTGACACTAGGATGGCGGGTAGCGAGCAGACAGACAGTTGGAGGTGTAGTGAATGAACTGGGTGACGCTAGGAGGGCGGGTAGAGAGCAGACAGTTGGAGGTGTAGTGAATGAGCTGGGTGACACTAGGATGGCGGGTAGCGAGCAGACAGTTGGAGGTGTAGTGAATGAACTGGGTGACGCTAGGAGGGCGGGTAGAGAGCAGACAGTTGGAGGTGCAGTGAATGAGCTGGGTGACACTAGGATGGCGGGTAGAGAGCAGACAGTTGGAGGTGCAGTGAATGAGCTGGGTGACACTAGGAGGGCGGGTAGAGAGCAGACAGACAGTTGGAGGTGTAGTGAATGAACTGGGTGACGCTAGGATGGCGGGTAGAGAGCAGACAGTTGGAGGTGCAGTGAATGAGCTGGGTGACACTATGAGGGCGGGTAGAGAGCAGACAGTTGGAGGTTTACTGAATGAGCTGGGTGACACTAGGATGGCGGGTAGAGAGCAGACAGTTGGAGGTGCAGTGAATGAGCTGGGTGACACTAGGATGGCGGGTAGAGAGCAGACAGTTGGAGGTGCAGTGAATGAGCTGGGTGACACTAGGAGGGCGGGTAGAGAACAGACAGTTGGAGGTGCAGTGAATGAACTGGGTGACGCTAGGAGGGCGGGTAGAGAGCAGACAGTTGGAGGTGCAGTGAATGAGCTGGGTGACACTAGGAGGGCGGGTAGAGAGCAGACAGTTGGAGGTGCAGTGAATGAGCTGGGTGACACTAGGATGGCGGGTAGAGAGAAGACAGACAGTTGGAGGTGCAGTGAATGAGCTGGGTGACACTAGGATGGCGGGTAGAGAGCAGACAGACAGTTGGAGGTGCAGTGAATGAGCTGGGTGACACTAGGATGGCGGGTAGAGAGCAGACAGTTGGAGGTGTAGTGAATGAGCTGGGTGACACTAGGATGTCGGGTAGAGAACAGACAGTTGGAGGTGCAGTGAATGAGCTGGGTGACACTAGGATGGCGGGTAGAGAACAGACAGTTGGAGGTGCAGTGAATGAGCTGGGTGACACGAGGATGTCGGGTAGAGAACAGACAGTTGGAGGTGCAGTGAATGAGCTGGGTGACACTAGGATGGCGGGTAGAGAGCAGACATTTGGAGGTGCAGTGAATGAGCTGGGTGACACTAGGATGACCTTCGGGTGTCTAACCAGGTCAGCATTGTTTTAGTTGAAGAGGAAAAGTGCGGGCACTGACGTCATAATCATAATTGCACTTAAAATTATGTTTTATGTGTTCTGATGTAATACAGGCTTTTGTTGGAAGGTATTGTAGTGACTACTGGAATACAGGCACATGATGTTGATGATTATGATATCAATAACTATGACGTGTAAACTATCTAAGTAAAGAGCAAAACGAGGGCTGAAAGAAGATCAGAGAATTATGAATAATTATGTACTGCCTAAGCAAATAATGCATTTAAAATGTTGTTGACAACTGCATGTGATATGAAGACGTGTGGGGAAAAAATATAGAAAGATCTGTGAAAGTGAAAGTCCTTTAGCTTGAGACTGTCCTAGTCACGGGACTGGAAGGGCAGCTTATGGATACAATAGATTGTAACTATAGCGGGCGTCACAGAAGATTTAGATGTTGAGGATGAATGAGGCAGGATGGTTTGACAAGTTTTTTAGCCTGGCTGCTTTTATAGAAGTGGAAAGGCATGGATATTCATGCCGTAAAAGTAAATAACTGCATGTCTAATTAATTGTTCATTGAAAAGATCATGTGGGGTAGTGGATAAAGATGTTTACAAGTGCATAAGGATGGGGGTGTGAACTGTTCGTATAGAAAAGAGGGGTTGGTTGTAGTGTATAATAAGATTTCTGTTGTTGCGATCACGTTTATACCCATAGGCATGTGAACATATAGAAGGTTTGAATATATGTAACAGGTGACAGGACAGTCGGCTTGGTTGGCTAATTAGCTTGTTGGTAATTTCTGATCGGCACTTAGATATTTAGTAGGTGGCATTGAGATAGTAGTTGGTAGTCTGGGATGTAGGATGATGGTTTTTGTGTCTAAGTACTGACTAATAGCCGGAAATGGGTCCTATTAGTTGCTTGCTACTTTATGGTTGAGTAGCGTAGTTTCTGCTATCAGTTGTAATGAATTGTAGTCTGTAGTGAGATTTAGGGTTTTGACTGTGTAATTCTTTTCCTTAATTATAACCATTGTTACTTGTTATTCTTGTATTCCATCGTTAAGTTTGTTAAGTATAGGTGTTGTATCACTATTGGTTGTTTTGGTCTTTATATTACTTTGCTATACTGACATTAAATAACTCGCTTTTATACCTCCACTATTACCTGATTGTCTGGGATGTAGACACATTAGTACTACACTCCAAATGAAAATCTTTTATCTTCTCATTCATCCTGCATCTATTGTTCTTGTCGTCTTTCTCTCTCTCTCCCCCTCTCTCACACCTTCTCTCTCACCTTTTCTCTCTAACCTCTAATTGTACAGCCCACCCGGTTTCTACCATGCGACGGTCCACGGTTGTTGTGCTGTAGAATTGTAGTCAGTTCAACATTTGGTGATAGGCTCACATTGTTTACATACCAAACACAGCTCGATCAGTGACTTGGTCAACGTAACGCCGACCGCCTTTACTTCTCAGAACATTTCTCTGTACCCATTTAGGCTGGGTCAACATGGAATTCAAGTTTTTTTTCTCTGAACATTCATTCAGTGTGGATTCGAACCCATGATCCTGGGCCAGCAGGTGAGCAACTAGCTACTACACCACCTCGCCTCCCGGTTAAGGGGTTGTTGTTTGATTAGTTGGTAAATAGCCCCGTGCAAAGGTCTGGTCCATCTGTACACATCTGTCCCGTCCACTCACACCACCACCCTTCCACTCACACCACCACCCTTCCACTCACACCACCACCCTTCCACTCACACCACCACCCTTCCACTCACACCACCACCCTTCCACTCACACCACCACCCTTCCACTCACACCACCACCCTTCCACTCACACCACTACCCTTCCACTCACACCACCACCCTTCCACTCACACCACCACCCTTCCACTCACACCCCAACCCTTCCACTCACACCACCACCCTTTCACTCACACCACCACCCTTCCACTCACACCCCAACCCTTCCACTCACACCACCACCCTTCCACTCACACCACCACCCTTCCACTCACACCCCAACCCTTCCACTCACACCGCCACCCTTCCACTTACACCCCAACCCTTCCACCCTCCTTGTGCATCGTCCTTGTCACAATGTGTGTTCTGTGAACTGATTGACAGGGAATAATGTGTGTTCTGTAAACTGATTGACAGGGAATAATGTGTGTTCTGTAAACTGATTGACAGGGAATAATGTGTTTTTGTGAACTGATTGACAGGGAATAATGTGTTTTAGTGAACTGACTGACAGGGAATAATGTGTGCTCTGTGAATTGGCTGACAGGGAATGTTGTGTGTTCTATGAATTGACTGACAGGGAATAATGTGTGTTCTGTGAACTGATTGACAGGGAATAATGTGTTTTAGTGAACTGATTAACAGGGAATAATGTGTGCTCTGTGAATTGACTGACAGGAAATAATGTGTGTTCTGTGAACTGACTGACAGGGAATAATGTGTGTTTTGTGAACTGATTGACAGGGAATAATGTGTGTTCTGTAAACTGATTGACAGGGAATAATGTGTGTTCTGTGAACTGATTGACAGGGAATAATGTGTGTTCTGTGAACTGATTGACAGGGAACCTACTACGGCTACACGTTAGAAGGCACGTGTACTTACGGTGATGACTACCCGCCTGCCGGCAAGGACTCCCGCATTTCTGCTCTTGTTGCCCTGAATGCGCCCCAGTTCATGAACTCGCTGGTGTGTGGCATCTGTCTACGGGTGAGTTTCTCTAGTCTTTCTCGAAACCTGTTGTGTGCTAGTGGAGTTGTGGGCTGGTGAAGTTGTGGGCTGGTGGAGTTGTGTGCTAGTGGAGTTGGGAATTGGTGGAGTTGTGGGCTGGTAGAGTTGGGAGCTGATGGAGTTGTGGGCTGTTAAATGTGTGGGCTGGTGGAGTTGTGGGCTGGTAGAGTCGGGGGCTGGTGGAGTTGTGGCCTGGTGGAGGTGTGAGCTGGTGGAGTTGTGGGCTGGTGGAGTTGGGGGCTGGTGGAGTTGGGGGCTGGTGGAGTTGTGTGCTAGTGGAGTTGGGAATTGGTGAAGTTGTGGGCTGGTAGATTTGGGAGCTGATGGAGTTGTGGGCTGTTAAATGTGTGGGCTGGTGTAGTTGTGGGCTGGTAGATTTGTGGGCTGGTAGAGTTGTGGGCTGGTGGAGTTGGGGGCTGGTGGAGTTGGGGGCTGGTGGAGTTGGGGGCTGGTGGAGTTGTGGGCTGGTAGAGGTTTGGGCTGGTAGAGGTGTGGGCTGGTGGAGTTGGGGGCTGGTGAAGGTGTGGGCTGGTGGTGGTGTGGGCTGGTGGTGTGGGATAAAGGAAGTGTAAGGTAATAGAAGAAAGAGGTGGTGGAAGTTGGGGGTGTTAGGAGAATGGGGTGCTGGAAAGATGAAGTGATTTGAGTGTTACATGTTGGCAGTTTTGGGCTGTATTTACAGTGTCTTGATCAGTCAGCATCTTAGCGTCAGAAAAACTGAACGCCACGGGTCTTCTAAGTAGCCTGGTAAAAAGCTTTCAACCAATAAACAATACAATCCTCTTTTATTTTTTAATATACTGACAGATTCCCTTACTCAGATTATCAACGCATTTTCAACATCTGTGTTACATACCACAAAAATCATTTTTTTTTTCTGGGGTTCTTCAGTCATACAACAGAATTGAGTTGAGCTGAGTTTCATAAACCGACAGTACAGGACTCGGGATATCTGCAACTGTGTTGCGTCCCTATCTTCAGTAGCATAGGAAGAATGTTTACTCCGACCGCACCAGTAGCAGCCTGATTGTATGTCCTTGTCGCCTTTCTCTAAGTGTGGAGTGTCGACCAGATCCCTCGGTCACTTCTTGAGTGTGGAGTGTCGACACTAATCTCCTGGTCACTCCCTGAGTGTGGAGTGTCGACCAGATCCCTCGGTCACTCCCTGAGTGTGGAGTGTCTATCCCCCGGTCACTCCCTGAGTGTGGAGTGTCTATCCCCCGGTCACTGCCTGAGTGTGGAATGTCTATCCCCCGGTCACTCCCTGAGTGTGGAGTGTCTATCCCCCGGTCATTCCCTGAGTGTGGAGTGTCTATCCCCCGGTCACTCCCTGAGTGTGGAGTGTCTATCAGATCCACCGGTCACTCCCTGAGTGTGGAGTGTCTATCCCTCGGTCACTCCCTGAGTGTGGAGTGTCTATCCCTCGGTCACTCCCTGAGTGTGGAGTGTCTATCCCCCGGTCACTCCCTGAGTGTGGAGTGTCTATCCCCCGGTCACTCCCTGAGTGTGGAGTGTCTATCCCCCGGTCACTCCCTGAGTGTGGAGTGTCTATCCCTCGGTCACTCCCTTAGTGAGGAGTGTCTATCCCCCGGTCACTCCCTGAGTGTGGAGTGTCGACACAAATCCCCCGGTCACTCCCTGAGTGTGGAGTGTCTATCCCCCGGTCACTCCCTGAGTGTGGAGTGTCTATCCCCCGGTCACTCCCTGAGTGTGGAGTGTCTATCCCTCGGTCACTCCCTGAGTGTGGAGTGTCGAACAGATGCCCCTGTCACTTTCTGAGTGTGGAGTGTCGACACAAATCTCCCGGTCGCTTTCTGAGTGTGGAGTGTCGAACAGATGCCCCTGTCACTTCCTGAGTGGGGAGTGTCGACTGGATCCGCTGGTCACTCACAGTTGCACCAATCTTTTCAGACCATGATCTTATTAAACCTCTGAATTGTCCACTTGCAAAAATAGCCTAGCCACTATCTATCTACGACAGACAGAATTTCCTCTTTCCAGTCAACATACCGATGACGTCATCGTTAATCTAAGTATCAAAGAATGTCCTTAGACGTTTCGACATACCAAAGAATTACCGCCCTCCATCTTGTACTCAATATATCAAAGGAATCCTTCTTTCTGCTCCGTATTTCAGCAAATTCTTCCTCTCCACTCGATGTACTATTTTCACTTCTCTACTCAACATACAACACACTTCACTTTTTACTCAACACACTTACAAAGTTCACCTCTATAGTCAATAAACCGACAAATGTCACATCTCTACTCAACATACCAACACATTTTACCTCTATACTCAATATGCCAGTAAACGTCACATATCTACGCAACATACCAACACATTTTACCTGTCTGCTCAAAAAAACCGTTAAATTTCACCTCTCTACTCAACATATCACTGAATTAGCTATCTGTACTCAACATAATAACAAATGTCTCCTCTCTACTCAACAAACCACCATTTCACCTCTGTACTCAACATACCCACAAAATGATCCCCTCCTCGCATCAGCTTTGCACTTCAGCCATGTCACTTACAGACTGTTGGGACAGCCAGTTTTTTTGTTTGCTAGGAAATCGTTCCCTGACGATTCTGTTTCTATTTGAGAACGCCATGCACTTAATTGCTAGGCAACAAACAACTATGGGGAAACTAACTCCAGATGGCAGCTGTGTTCGGCTCTGTGAACCAGCCAGTCTCCGGGTAGCCTTTCTCTTGTTGCGATACGTGTTATGATCAATCTGATAATCGGCCTCGTCTGATTTAGCTTGTCAGGCTGTCCCTTAGACCAGTGGTTCTCAAACTTTGGGGGGGGGGGGGAGGATTGCGGCATCTTTGTCTGGTCGGCACAGTTCCCCTTTAAGCAGCTTGAGCAATTAATATGGGCAAATTGAATGCTGAGTTGTTTTCAGTGCGATGCATAGAACCGAATGATTGTTTTTCACTCTGTTATCCCCTTTATGTTTATGGGAAGTTGAGTTAATTTTACCCCCAGATCACTTAACCCAGACAGTTTGCTTGTGTATTTGTTTTGTATGTAAGAGTAGGTTTAGAGTGCAGACTCACAGAAGATAAGTTACAGTAAAACGCACGTCTTCTCACTGAAGCTTTGTCACCCGCATCTACAACTTTTCTTGGCTTCCTTCACCGTATTTCTCTTTTAAAATGCTGTATTCGCTGATCTCTAGCAGATTTAAAAAAAATGTCGTTGGTCATTCCAGCAGGTTTATGTTTCCGGTGGCAGGAAAACGGGTTCATAATCCAGCTGTAGATGACATCAGAGTCAATGCCGGGACATTAATCAAATATGCTTGCAGGTGGCAGAAAAACGGGTTCATAATCCAGTTGTAGATGACATCAGAGTCCATGTCGGGACATTAATCAAAAATGCTTGTAGGTGGCAGAAAAACGGGTTCATAATCCAGCTGTAGATGTCATCAGAGTCCAAGTCGGGACAATAATCAAATATGCTTGCAGGTGGCCAGTTACCATTTCCAGCATGTTGCTTTCAGGGTTGATCTCATTTGTTTTGACACAATGTGGACCACATATGGACAGGTCCTGTATACAGGTCTCTCGCAGGAGACAGTACCGAACTAGGACTCAGAGGTGGCACACAAGCGACTCTTGACTAGAATGTTCTTGAGGTTACAGTCATGTCTGCAGGACACTAGAGACAGTACCGAACTAGGACTCAGAGGTGGCACACAAGCGACTCTTGACTAGAATGTTCTTGAGGTTACGGTCATGTCTGCAGGACACTAGAGACAGATCAGAGAAAATTGTGCTAGTGGTAGGGTCAGTTTTAAGGATGGAGAGATACTTGGATGGCTTAGACTCGCAGGTGTCTCCTGGGATGTTTCTTCTCCTCCAGCGATGCTGGTTGTCGGTCGCTTCATAAACTTCAGTCAGTTCACCAGATTTCCGTTTGAACTCTTTCAGTTCCATGGGGTTTAGCATGAGAGGTCAAAGTGGTAGTCAAGAGTTAAGTAATATCGGCCCATCTTGCGTTCATTGGACTTCTAGGTAGGAACCTATGAACGTATGATGCGTTCATTAGGACTGAAAAAATTTAGACTCAGTTTTTAGGCAAAAGTCCATTATTCTGCAATAAAAGTGATAGAAACTAAGTTATTTCGGAAAAGAGAGGGGAAAAAATCCATTCCAGCGTTTATTTTGTTGACATGTTATTCCACGGACGCTTTATTCAACCAATCAAAAAAATTGAAACAACAATTTGTAAAAAAAAAAAAAAAAAACCTATCGAATCAGGCACCCAAAAAAAACAAAAAGTATTAAAAAGTTTGTGCGAGCGAACAAAAGTTTGGGCGAGCGAACAAAATTTTCTGCGAGCGAACAAAAGTTTCTGCAAGCGAATAAATGTTTCTGCGAGCGAACAAAAGTTTCTGCGAGCGAACAAAAGTTTGTGCGAGCGAACAAAAGTTTCTGCGAGCGAAGAAAAGTTTGTGCGAGCGAACAAATGCCATCGAGCTGGTTAGAACGAAAGCAAACCAATTCACCTTTCAGTCATCATTTGTTTAGTCGATGACGTTTAAACACCATCTCGCTAACTCAGCTGGTTAAACCTGACCACGCGGCTACTGGGTGACGAACTCTTTGTGGTCGGGTTCATGCCGGGGGAGGGGGGGGGGGGTAAGTTTAAAAGCCACATTTCTCCCGGATTTACGGTATCAATCATGGAATCAAGGCCGAAGAGTTGCGGTATCCACAGTACCTATCCAAAGGGTTAACAACTCATGGTTTCTAGACATAAAAAAAAAAAAAACGCACTTCTATATTCTCGTTAGCAATATCTTCAAATTTGACTGCCGCAAAGTAACCACAAAAGAACCACACACACAGACACACAGACACACACACAATTGCATGATCATAAAAGGAAAAACATGGTAACAAAAGAACACATTATCCATAAATATGAGTGCTCATTTGATCAGGCTAACAGTTAATTGTGTACAGACCAAATTGTCCACCTCGAAATTGAGGCACAACTGGACTTATCAACAGCACCCTCACGAATGCAGGTAGAAGATTGATCGCACCTCGAGATAAATACAAGGACAATTCTGAAGACATTGCGGTTGGCATTTGAGGCAAAATGAAACACGTCTGAGTGTGAAACAAAACATAAACTCTTTCTGACAGAGGCGAGGGAAGACAACATAAATTTTAATTTGTAGGTATCTACAATATGCCATCTTTAATCATTTCAAAATTTTTGGACGACTTGTCTTGATGATTGCCCTGGTAGCCCTGTCGTACGCTTGTGGCACCCAGTCTGAGAACTGAACCTTAGGCAAACACATCCATCTTCTCTGTCATTATTTACAATTGGCCAGCAGTATGTGAAGTGCACGCAAAAGCCATCAGCACATATCCTGCAGTTACAAACGACAACAGCTTCCATTGCTCCAGCAAATAATGAGAAGAAATAATATGTAGAATACAGAAATGCTCTATCTCGTCACGAATGAGATCACGTTATACAGGTCACCGGTACTACCCAAGATCCTGTATGGCTCTTATCACAAACTTGTGAGAAATGTGACGATGAGCCTTTGAAGCGCTCAAATGTGCAGACATCGGCGAATGGCAAGTGAAAGCCTACATTATCCAGAATCTGGCCAGATCAGCTCTAAATACTCGCAGGCTGTCCTTGTCAAGCAAGCTTGTGTTCTCGGTACTGGTCTCTTTGCTAGTGAAACTTGGTCAACTTATTCACACCAAGAGAGACGGCTAAATAGCTTTCTCTGTCGCTGGTTGATGATTTGACCAGAAAACATGGATTTCCGTCTACAGGTTGTTGGGACTGGCGAAGGGCTGGGCTCCGACCCAATCAAGGGTGAACACATTGTCTTTGTCAAGGATCTGTGTCCGGAATGTAAAACAGGTCTGTCTCACTGTCTGTCTCACTGTCTGTCTCACTGTCTGTCTCACTGTCTGTCTCACTGTCTGTCTCACGATAATTCTATGTGTGTGGCAGTGGGTGTTGTGTCATGTGAGTGTTGTGTCATGTGAGTGTTGTGTCTGTGAGTGTTGTGTCTATGAGTGTTGTGTCTGTGAGTGTTGTGTCTGTGAGTGTTGTGTCTGTGAGTGTTGTCTCTGTGAGTGTTGTGTCTGTGAGTGTTGTGTCTGTGAGTGTTGTGTCTGTGAGTGTTGTGTCTATGAGTGTTGTGTCTGTGAGTGTTGTGTCTATGAGTGTTGTGTCTGTGACTGTTGTGTCTGTGAGTGTTGTGTCTGTGACTGTTGTGTCTGTGAGTGTTGTGTCTGTGACTGTTGTGTCTGTGAGTGTTGTGACTGTGAGTGTTGTATCTGTGAGTGTTGTGTCTGTGAGTGTTGTGTCTGTGAGTGTTGTGTCTGTAAGTGTTGTGTCTGTGAGTGTTGTGTCTGTGAGTGTTGTGTCTGTGAGTGTTGTATCTGTAAGGGTTGTGTCTGTGAGTGTTGTGTCTGTGACTGTTGTGTCTGTGAGTGTTGTGTCTGTGAGTGTTGTGTCTGTGACTGTTGTGTCTGTGAGTATTGTGTCTGTGAGTGTTGTGTCTGTGAGTGTTGTGTCTGTGAGTGTTGTGTCTGTGAGTGTTGTGTCTGTGACTGTTGTGTCTGTGAGTGTTGTGTCTGTGAGTGTTGTGTCTGTGACTGTTGTGTCTGTGAGTGTTGTGTCTGTGAGTGTTGTGTCTGTGAGTGTTGTATCTGTGACTGTTGTGTCTGTGACTGTTGTGTCTGTGACTGTTGTGTCTGTGACTGTTGTCTCTGTCAGTGTTGTGTCTGTGAGTGTTGTGTCTGTGAGTGTTGTGTCTGTGAATGTTGTATCTGTAAGGGTTGTGTCTGTGACTGTTATGTCTGTGAGTGTTGTGTCTGTGACTGTTGTCTCTGTGAGTGTTGTATCTGTAAGGGTTGTGTCTGTGAGTTTTGTGTCTGTGAATGTTGTGTCTGTGAGTGTTGTGTCTGTAAATGTTGTGTCTGTGAATGTTGTGTCTGTAAGGGTTGTGTTTGTGAGTGTTGTGTCTGTGAGTGTTGTGTCTGTGAGTGTTGTGTCTGTAAGTGTTGTGTCTGTGAGTGTTGTGTCTGTGAGTGTTGTGTCTGTAAGGGTTGTGTCTGTGAGTGTTGTGTCTGTGAGTGTTGTGTCTGTGAGTGTTGTGTCTGTAAGGGTTGTGTCTGTGAGTGTTGTGTCTGTGAGTGTTGTGTCTGTGAGTGTTTTGTCTGTGAGTGTTGTGTCTGTAAGTGTTGTGTCTTTGAGTTTTGTGTTGTGTCTGTGAGTGTCTTGTCTGTGCGTGAGTGTTAAAAATTAACCTTACCCCCCCCCTTCCCCCCGCCTGTCCCGCCACCATCAACAGATCGTTAACTCATATGATCACTTATCGGCCATGTCCAGGGTCTGTAGATTTCTCCCTGGATGGCGACGGTCGCTGGGACATAACCATACAGGCCGTCCAGTGTCCCGTTGGCAGCAGCAAGATCCAGTACTCTTTCCAGGGCAGTAACGAGTGGTACCTGAAACTGCAGGTCAGGAATGCCAGGTGAGTCACTGGTAGAGTGTAGTTATAAATGACAGGTGAGTCACTGGTAAAGCGTGGTTATAAATGACAGGTGAGTCACTGGTAAAGTGTAGTTATAAATGACAGGTGAGTCACTGGTAAAGTGTAGTTATAAATGACAGGTGAGTCACTGGTAAAGTGTAGTTATGAATGACAGGTGAGTCACTGGTAAATTGTAGTTATAAATGACAGGTGAGTCAGTGGTAAATAGTAGTTATAAATGACAGGTGAGTCACTGGTAGAGTTTTGTTATAAATGACAGGTGAGTCACTGGTAAAGTGTAGTTATAAATGACAGGTGAGTCACTGGTAGAGTGTAGTTATAAATGACAGGTGAGTCACTGGTAAATTGTAGTTATAAATGACAGGTGAGTCACTGGTAAAGTGTAGTTATAAATGACAGGTGAGTCACTGGTAGAGTGTAGTTATAAATGACAGGTGAGTCACTGGTAGAGTGTAGTTATAAATGACAGGTGAGTCACTGGTAGAATGTTGTTATAAATGACAGGTGAGTCACTGGTAAATTGGAGTTATAAATGACAGGTGAGTCACTGGTAAAGTGTAGTTATAAATGACAGGTGAGTCACTGGTAGAGTGTAGTTATAAATGACAGGTGAGTCACTGGTAGAGTGTAGTTATAAATGACAGGTGAGTCACTGGTAGAATGTTGTTATAAATGACAGGTGAGTCACTGGTAAATTGTAGTTATAAATGACAGGTGAGTCACTGGTAGAGTGTAGTTATAAATGACAGGTGAGTCACTGGTAAATTGTAGTTATAAATGACAGGTGAGTCACTGGTAAAGTGTAGTTATAAATGACAGGTGAGTCACTGGTAGAGTGTAGTTATAAATGACAGGTGAGTCACTGGTAGAATGTTGTTATAAATGACAGGTGAGTCACTGGTAAAGTGTAGTTATAAATGACAGGTGAGTCACTGGTAGAGTGTAGTTATAAATGACAGGTGAGTTACTGGTAGAGTGTAGTTATAAATGACAGGTGAGTCACTGGTAAAGTGTGGTTATAGTGTGGTGTCTTTCCTGAGACAGGAGGTATTCGATTTTATTCTTGTGTCTTCCATGAAACAGGAAGTGTTGGATTTTTTTAATGTATATTCCCTGAGACAGGATGTATTAGACATTATATTTTATTCTTGTATCTTTCCTGGGATAGAATCCCAATTACTGAGGTACAGTTACAGAGGAATGGCAACTGGGTGACGCCCAAGCACAGCAGTGACGGATACTGGGTTGTCAGCGACAGCAATGGCTTCCAGACGAACAACATTAACGTCCGACTCACCGCTGCCAACGGCCAGCAGTTGGAGGACACGATTCCCAGGCTCCGTACGTTTGATGTTATTTAGCTCATTTCTCCATTCTCTTCTTTTTGAAACAGTAGAAACGTCAGCTTGGACAAAGTTAGAGAGAAAGCAGTTGATACTGTCTCGAAGTTAGCTATGTTGGACTGACGCTTTTACTGCTGTTTTTGGGAGTTCTGCGTGCTGAGGCTTCACATTTCTTCCACAGAGCCACTCTCCCGTATCCTCTGTCAGAGAGATACGAGAACAATTTATTCTTGAACCGCCAGCCACGGAAATTAAATGCTGTTACTACGTGGATTGTAGAACGTGTTCACTGACCTCGAAGCCACATAGCAGATATCCAGACAACGGCGATAAACTTCAGCTGTTGATATCTTCATAGATTTCATTATCTGAACTTTGTGCTGCTGTTGTTCAAAATAGTTGTCTCTGTTTTTATTGTGTTGGACACGCTAATAACCAGTGCTGGGAATTGTCATCAGAAGTAAAGGCAGCCGGCGTGATTTGATCACTTCGCCAATAGAGTGCGATTTGGCTTCAACAAACCTGTGTCTTGACCATATGGCTGGCACTCATGTAGTTGGTTAGTCTTTCCTTTTGGGCCCAGGGCGACGCAAAGGGCAGAGGTCAAAACTGTCCGTGTCTGGCGGTTCGTTGCCATCTGCTTCAAGTTTTGAATGTTTGTTATAGCAAGGTTATTTTGCTTTGTGTGTCAGCTACGTTATTCCACCCTAGCAAGTCGACCTTCTATATACACATTGGACATAACCAATGCCTCAGGAAAAACACCATGCACTGACTAGCTCAGCCATCAGGAAAATGACTGTTCTGTGACTTGATTGCCAAGTTCAGAAATACTAACCCGATCAGCGCAACGTCAAAGCCTTGCGAGCACTGACAGTGACAAGCTACATCAACTAATGTCAAACTGGAGTCTTTAGTGTAAACACACACAGATGCTTGTAAAAAAAAGGGAAATTATACCACCGAGAACAGACATATAAGAAGTAGCTGGAGGATAAGAGGAGATGAACAGGATAAAAAGATGACCTTCTGACTTCAAGACGGGTAAGGTAGACGAGAAAAGGCAAAGTTCTTGTTTAGATAGGTAGGGCCAACAGCACGCAGCTCAAACCCAGCCATTGACAGGCAGAACGACCTACTAAAGAGATCAGAATTAATACTAGCTACTGACAAGCTAACTACACCACTAGTCAACTAGTGAATGAAAACATAATTATTTCTTTTATTGCCTGAAAATCAAAGAAGTATACAAAATTTAACTACACTATAAGCATATCAATACAACATAATAACAATGTCACGTTAATCAAAAACAAATGATGGATCTTCAAAATGTAAGGAATTTCTTGCCAACCAGTAACACTATTAAACAGACAGATATGGAATATACAAGGCTAGCAAAGTCCAACCGACACTCCAACATAGTTGTGCAATGCCGCACAGAGCTTGTTGACCAGGCTGGGTCTCGTGCATCATCTCATCAGGCTTTTGGATAAGCATTAGTTTCATCTGAGTGTCTGTAGAGGAGCATCTTGGCTTCCATTGTATGAGCTCCAGATACCTGCGGGAGTCCCTGTCTTGCAAGATCTCGCCTCTTTTCGCCCTCTTCTGTCTTCAAGCCAGAAATTCGTCTTTTGTGTGTCTTCTTTGCCTAGACACTTATGTATATCTTCTCTCCTCAAATATATTATGTCTTGTCTTGTACCAGGAAAAGAAGCATTTACAGGTATGTCTGAGTACCATCTAATTGACTACACGAATAATTAAAAACAATGACTTAAGGTGACGATGAAAAATCAACTACAGAAAAGAGTGCGAGGGTTGGGGGTAGGTGGGGAGGTTGTGGGATCAACACCACCCCGCCGCCTTTACTTCTCAGGACTTTATTTAGTACTCATTTAGGGCTCGGTCGACCTGGGAGCCACAGTCATTTAAAAAAAAACAATGACTGGCTCCATCAGGACCCAAACCCTAGACCTTTAAATCAGAGGCTAGCATCTAGCCGCTACACATATTGCTCTAAGTGCGGCAGTATGTATGTGTGTACTGACAGACTGCTCTAAGTGCGGCAGTATGTATGTGTGTACTGACAGACTGCTCTAAGTGCGGCAGTATGTATGTGTGTACTGACAGACTGCTCTAAGTGCGGCAGTATGTATGTGTGTACTGACAGATTGCTCTAAGTGCGGCAGTATATATGTGTGTACTGACAGACTGCTCTAAGTGCGGCAGTATGTATGTGTGTACTGACAGACTGCTCTAAGTGCGGCAGTATGTATGTGTGTACTGCCAGACTGCTCTAAGTGCGGCAGTATGTATGTGTGTACTGACAGACTGCTCTAAGTGCGGCAGTGTGTATGTGTGTACTGACAGACTGCTCTAAGTGCGGCAGTGTGTATGTGTGTACTGACAGACTGCTCTAAGTGCGGCAGTGTGTATGTGTGTACTGACAGACTGCTCTAAGTGCGGCAGTATGTATGTGTGTACTAACAGATTGCCCTGAGTGCGGCAGTATGTATGTGTGTACTGACAGATTAGTCTAAGTGCGGCAGTATGTATGTGTGTACTGACAGATTGCTCTAAGTGCGGCTATGTGTATGTGTGTACTGACAGATTGCTCTAAGTGCTGCCCTATATATTTGTGTACTGACAGATTGCCCTATGTGCGGCAGTGTGTATGTGTGTACTGACAGACTGAGAAGTGCGGCAGTATGTGTGTGTGTGTGTACTGAGAGATTGCTCTAAGTGCGGCAGTGTGTATGTGTGTACTGACAGATTGCCCTAAGTGCGGCAGTATGTATGTGTGTACTGACAGATTGCTCTAAAGCTGCCCTATGTATGTGTGTACTGACAGATTGCCCTAAGTGCGGCAGTATATATGTGTGTACTGACAGACTGCTCTAAGTGCGGCAGTATGTATGTGTGTACTGACAGACTGCTCTAAGTGCGGCAGTATGTATGTGTGTACTGACAGACTGCTCTAAGTGCGGCAGTATGTATGTGTGTACTGACAGACTGCTCTAAGTGCGGCAGTGTGTATGTGTGTACTGACAGACTGCTCTAAGTGCGGCAGTATGTGTGTGTGTACTGAGAGATTGCTCTAAGTGCGGCAGTATGTATGTGTGTACTGACAGATTAGTCTAAGTGCGGCAGTATGTATGTGTGTACTGACAGATTGCTCTAAGTGCGGCTATGTGTATGTGTGTACTGACAGATTGCTCTAAGTGCTGCCCTATATATTTGTGTACTGACAGATTGCCCTATGTGCGGCAGTGTGTATGTGTGTACTGACAGACTGCTCTAAGTGCGGCAGTATGTGTGTGTGTGTACTGAGAGATTGCTCTAAGTGCGGCAGTGTGTATGTGTGTACTGACAGATTGCCCTAAGTGCGGCAGTATGTATGTGTGTACTGACAGATTGCTCTAAGTGCTGCCCTATGTATGTGTGTACTGACAGATTGCCCTAAGTGCGGCAGTATATATGTGTGTACTGACAGACTGCTCTAAGTGCGGCAGTATGTATGTGTGTACTGACAGACTGCTCTAAGTGCGGCAGTATGTATGTGTGTACTGACAGACTGCTCTAAGTGCGGCAGTATGTATGTGTGTACTGACAGACTGCTCTAAGTGCGGCAGTGTGTATGTGTGTACTGACAGACTGCTCTAAGTGCGGCAGTATGTGTGTGTGTACTGAGAGATTGCTCTAAGTGCGGCAGTGTGTATGTGTGTACTGACAGATTGCCCTAAGTGCGGCAGTATGTATGTGTGTACTGACAGATTGCTCTAAGTGCTGCCCTATGTATGTGTGTACTGACAGATTGCCCTAAGTGCGGCAGTGTGTATGTGTGTACTGACAGATTGCTCTAAGTGCGGCAGTATGTATGTGTGTACTAACAGATTGTCCTAAGTGCGGCAGTATGTATGTGTGTACTGACAGACTGCTCTAAGTGCGGCAGTATGTATGTGTGTACTGACAGACTGCTCTAAGTGCGGCAGTATGTATGTGTGTACTGACAGACTGCTCTAAGTGCGGCAGTATGTATGTGTGTACTGACAGATTGCTCTAAGTGCGGCAGTATGTATGTGTGTACTGACAGACTGCTCTAAGTGCGGCAGTATGTATGTGTGTACTGACAGATTGCTCTAAGTGCGGCAGTATGTATGTGTGTACTGACAGACTGCTCTAAGTGCGGCAGTGTGTATGTGTGTACTGACAGACTGCTCTAAGTGCGGCAGTATGTATGTGTGTACTGACAGATTGCTCTAAGTGCGGCAGTATGTATGTGTATACTGACAGACTGCTCTAAGTGCGGCAGTGTGTATGTGTGTACTGACAGACTGCTCTAAGTGCGGCAGTATGTATGTGTGTACTAACAGATTGCCCTGAGTGCGGCAGTATGTATGTGTGTACTGACAGATTAGTCTAAGTGCGGCAGTATGTATGTGTGTACTGACAGATTGCTCTAAGTGCGGCTATGTGTATGTGTGTACTGACAGATTGCTCTAAGTGCTGCCCTATATATTTGTGTACTGACAGATTGCCCTATGTGCGGCAGTGTGTATGTGTGTACTGACAGACTGCTCTAAGTGCGGCAGTATGTGTGTGTGTACTGAGAGATTGCTCTAAGTGCGGCAGTGTGTATGTGTGTACTGACAGATTGCCCTAAGTGCGGCAGTATGTATGTGTGTACTGACAGATTGCTCTAAGTGCTGCCCTATGTATGTGTGTACTGACAGATTGCCCTAAGTGCGGCAGTATGTATGTGTGTACTGACAGATTGCTCTAAGTGCGGCTATGTGTATGTGTGTACTGACAGATTGCTCTAAGTGCGGCAGTGTGTATGTGTGTACTGACAGATTGCCCTAAGTGCGGCAGTATGTATGTGTGTACTGACAGATTGCTCTAAGTGCTGCCCTATGTATGTGTGTACTGACAGATTGCCCTAAGTGCGGCAGTGTGTATGTGTGTACTGACAGATTGCTCTAAGTGCGGCAGTATGTATGTGTGTACTGACAGATTGCTCTAAGTGCGGCAGTATGTATGTGTGTACTGACAGATTGCTCTAAGTGCGGCTATGTGTATGTGTGTACTGACAGATTGCTCTAAGTGCTGAGTTATATATTTGTGTACTGACAGATTGCCCTAACTGCGGCAGTGTGTATGTGTGTACTGACAGACTGCTCTAAGTGCGGCAGTATGTATGTGTGTACTGACAGATTGCTCTAAGTGCGGCAGTATGTATGTGTGTACTGACATCGATAACATTTTTTCTTCTACTAGAAAATGACGTCGTCATGAATGGGCTCAGGGGGGTCCAGGTGGATCTGGATTCACAGCTACCAAATGCATAACAAGATCGTGCACGGGACCTAGAAGGAATAGACTGCAATTCCTGTGCTTGTTAACTTTACATTATTAGTGGTTGTTAAATTTGTGAGATGTTAACGTTTTCCTCAGTTCTAAATGACATATTGCGTACTTCAGTAGATAGTTACTTTGAATGTGTTGTTTCTCTAGCTGGTTGTTAGCGTCATTCTGAACTTGAAATTAAGATGATATTTTATAATAAAGATGAAATTATATAATAAAGCCTACATCTTGAAATATTAATTTGAAGTAAAGGTTATGAGAGATTACAGAAGTACACTGAAGAGTTCGTCAGAATAATGTAACTTGTAAATAAAGTAAATGGGACTTTTATCATGTTAGGCACATATGTTCTGTCAGTCACGAGGCTAAATAGCCAGTATAAAGATACGTTTTGGTCATAATGTATTTTTAATCTATATGCACGTTTTAGCCTATTTCTGAGATTTGTAAGGGTAGAGGTACAAATGGTCATGAAGGCAAAATCGTCCCTGTCTTTATGTTTAATAAATAGTGTTTAAAACCTTTAGCACCCCACAATAAAAATTCAAAAATTGATCACACAAACCTACTCTCGGCCTCCTAGCAATCAAAACAGACAAAGAGGAAGTGAAACCACTCTAGAATAGTTATTTATAGTTTTCAAGTGACGTCACACGCGTAGCTCCGTTTAGGCTTCGTATTCCCCAACCATATATAGATGTCGAGTATACTCGACTGTGGGACGCTTTGAGGTCCAGTATACTCGACTGTGGGGTGCTAAAGGTTTAAAATATTGTACTGATATTTAAACTAAAAAAAAAAATGTGGGTTTACGAGATAATAACAAGTACAAATAAAGTAAATTTCTGAATTACTTGACGCAACACGCTCCCCCCCCCCCCCACACACACACACGCACACACACAACACTTGAATCTTTCTTACACACCCCTAGGGGTTATTCTCCCAAGTTGAAAAGCTCTGGGCTAAACTATCACCACATTTCTCTTTGTCAGCCCTATTCTCTTGCCTCCGACTTTCCTGTTGTCACGATGTTCTCCTGTTTCTCCCTCTCACAAGACCACACTGCACTGTTGATTGTCTACTTCGGTTCTGGATATCCAGTTCTCGTAGTCATTTCTGAAGCAGGTTGATATAAACATGTTGATCATATTTAAATTAGGGTATTACAATATAAATGCATGCTATGGGTAGGCTAGCACAGATTATGTGCGTCTGTGTACACACCCGATTGGAATGCCAGCCACATAAGAGACTGTGAGGTTTTGATCCTAAAATGAGAATAAACTGTGACACTTGGTATGGTTTGTCTTGGCGTCAGTCTCTTGACCTGTATTTTAACGTCTCGGCATTTGTGGTTGTAAAAATGTTGTTTAAAGAATGCCAACCCTCTATGACTCAAAGAATTGCATCCGGATGCCTGTCAAACCGGACAAATCATATACAAATGTTTCAACCTTCATGAAAAGTCATAACAAAGGCATTCGCAATTGTACAGCAAGTACTGACAGGCACTGCTGGTGCTGAACAAGTATTGGCAGTACTAATTGTGCTGACCAAGTACTGACAGGTACTGATTGTGGTGAGCATGTACTGACAGGTACTGCGGTGAGAATTTACTGACAGGTACTGATTGTGATGAGCATGTACTGACAGGTACTGATTGTGCTGAGCATGTACTGACAGGTACTGATTGGGGTGACCAAGTACTGACAGGTACTGATTGTGCTGAGCATGCACTGACAGGTACTGATTATGCTGAGCATGTACTGACAGGTACTGATTGTGCTGAGCATGTACTGACAGGTATTGATTGTGCTGAGCATGTACTGACAGGTACTGATTGGGGTGACCAAGTACTGACAGGTACTGATTGTGCTGACCAAGTACTGGCAGGTACTGATTGTGCTGAGCAAGTACTGACAGGTACTGATTGTGCTGAGCAAGTACTGACAGGTACTGATTGTGCTGAGCAAGTACTGACAGGTACTAATTGTGCTGTGCATGTACTGACAGGTACTGATTGTGGTGAGCAAGCACTGACAGGTACTGATTGTGCTGACCAAGTACTGACAGGTATTGATAATGCTGAGCGAGTACTGACAGGTACTGATTGTGCTGAGCAAGTACTGACAGGTACTGATTGTGCTGAGCAAGTACTAATGATGACGTGGAAAAGGGCCCTTTACTTTTACTTTATTCAGCGCGTTAGAATTATAATTTGTATTATGTTCTTAAACTAGGATTATACATCCTGGAGCCTTCCCTTTTTAACCGTTTGCCGTGACAATTAGGGAAGAGGATTTAAGCTGCGGCCCTCCTCCAGCCGATGTTTTCTCCGTGAAGTGTGAGGCTGGTACATGTGAGGTGGAGTGTGAGGCTGGCACATGTGGGATGTGTAGTGTGAGGCTGGCACATGTGGGATGTGAAGTGTGAGGCTGGCACATGGGAGTTAAAGTGTAAGTTTGGTACATGTGAGGTGTGAAGTGTGAGGTTGGTACATGTGAGGGGAAGTGTGAGGTTCGCACATGTGGGATGTGAAGTGTGAGGTTGGTACATGTGAGATGTGAAGTGTGAGGTTGGCACATGTGAGGTGAAGTGTGAGGCTGGCACATGTAGGATGTGAAGTGTGAGGTTGGCACATGTGAGGTGAAGTGTGAGGCTGGCACATGTGGGATGTGAAGTGTGAGGTTGGCACATGTGAGATGTGAAGTGTGAGGCTGGCACATGTGAGGTGAAGTGTGAGGCTGGCACATGTAGGATGTGAAGTGTGAGGTTGGCACATGTGAGGTGAAGTGTGAGGCTGGCACATGTGAGATGTGAAGTGTAAGGTTGGCACATGTGAGGTGAAGTGTGAGGCTGGCACATGTAGGATGTGAAGTGTGAGGTTGGCACATGTGAGGTGAAGTGTGAGGCTGGCACATGTGGGATGTGAAGTGTGAGGTTGGCACATGTGAGATGTGAAGTGTGAGGCTGGCACATGTGAGGTGAAGTGTGAGGTTGGCACATGTGAGATGTGAAGTGTGAGGTTGGCACATGTGAGATGTGAAGTGTGAGGCTGGCACATGTGAGGTGAAGTGTGAGGTTGGCACATGTGAGATGTGAAGTGTGAGGTTGGCACATGTGAGGTGAAGTGGGAGGTTGGCACATGTGGGATGTGAAGTGTGAGGTTGGCACATGTGAGATGTGAAGTGTGAGGTTGGTAAATGTGAGGGGAAGTGTGAGGTTGGCACATGTGGGATGTGAAGTGTGAGGTTGGCACATGTGAGATGTGAAGTGTGAGGTTGGCACATGTGAGGTGAAGTGGGAGGTTGGCACATGTGAGATATGAAGTGTGAGGTTGGCACATGTGAGATGTGAAGTGTGAGGCTGGCACACGTGAAAACAATTTTAATTATAAGCACTTCTTTGATGTAAAAAAAACGGCAACATTTATAATTTGTGGATACATTTAAGACCGCAGGACATAGCATCGAAACATAGAAATGTCCCTGTAGAGCAGGGGCCTGTTGTCATTTTCCTATACTTTTTCTACACAGCGTCCTGTCCCTTGCTTCGACAATCATTTTAAATCTGACCATTTTCCAGTTCATGATGCCTAACAGCAAACAATTGCTTACATTGTCCTCTGCAACCTTTCCGTCTGTCAAATCGTTCTATTATCACATTCTAGTCCACGTGTCCGGTTACAGGGCAGTAGGAAACAGATGAGCCAAGTCTCTAACCGATGACTGATGTCTAAAGCAACCACAATTGTATTCGGACATTCTATAGTCGCAAGGCTTGACCCCGCCCCCGCCAGTCTTATCAGTATAAATGTGCCCAATCATATTCTTGCTGACATTCAAGTCTTTCGTGCCTGCATATCTGGAATTACTAACGCTGGATACAGACAGCAGGTGACCACTGAATCTTTTTATGGGACAGACAGCAGGTGACCACTGAATCTTTTTCTGGGACAGACAGCAGGTGACCACTGAATCTTTTTCTGGGACACACATCAGTTGACCATTTGAATCTTTCTCTAGGACAGACATCAGGTGACCGTTTGAATCTTTCTCTGGGACAGACAGCAGGTGACCACTGAATCTTTCTCTGGGACAGACAACAGTTGACCATTTGAATCTTTCTCTGGGACAGACAACAGTTGACCATTTGAATCTTTCTCTGGGACAGACAACAGTTGACCATTTGAATCTTTCTCTGGGACAGACAGCAGGTGATCACTGAATATTTTTCTGGGACATACATGAGTTGACCATTTGAATCTTTCTCTAGGGCAGACAACAGTTGACCATTTGAATCTTTCTCTAGGACAGACAGCAGGTGATCACTGAATATTTTTCTGGGACATACATGAGTTGACCATTTGAATCTTTCTCTAGGGCAGACAACAGTTGACCATTTGAATCTTTCTCTGGGACAGGCAACAGTTGACCATTTGAATATTTCTCTGGGACATACATCAGTTGACTATTTGAATCTTTCTCTAGGACAGACATCAGGTGACCACTGGAATCTTTCTCTGGGACAGACATCAGGTGACCACTGGAATCTTTCTCTGGGACAGACATCAGGTGACCACTGGAATCTTTCTCTGGGACAGGCATCAGGTGACCACTGGAATCTTTCTGTGGGCTGTAGCCAGACGCTGACCGTGTGTGATGTTGCTCGTGGCTGTCACCTTGCTACTCGGTTTCCTTTACGCAGGTCAGTTCTAATACCTTCATTACACGATTACTAGTCATCATATTAGATTCTGTTACAATATCGTCTTGTTTGTGCGTTTCTCCTTTTACTTCTCCTTCCCCCCCCCCCCCCCCCATCTTTCCGTTGTTGGTTCAATTATTATTGTTCTTCTGCTCTTGATTGTGATGTTGCTGTTTCTACACTACAACTGTGTATTACCACTGCTGCTACCTCTGCTGCTTCTATTAGAATTCTTCACCAAAATATTTTTTTAAATCATCTTCCAACCCTT